AGTATTTAATGAGGGCCCCGCAGTTTATATGTTTTGTTTGGCGAGGCTCGTCTCATTTAATTATTTTTTAAGGTCAATCTAAATCGAACTAGATTCTCTATTTGCATTGTGGTCTTTAAAGGGCTTGGCAATATGAAATTCGGGTTTCCAAATTCAAGTCCGGATTCAAATAAAAGGATAAAACCTTTTAATTTAAAACCGCCACCTAACTTGAAGACCTAAATTTTATGTTGCAAATTGAATAACCATATTCCTAATGTGAACTTTGGGCCCAGGACTGTACAGTGATTGGGGAATTTGGCCCAAAACTGCACTGTGAATTTGCCCAGTAGTCGAACCTCATCAATGCCCAATCGTGAAAATTATACAGGCCCAGGAGCAGCATTTAGTCCCATTCTGTCGTTTGATTAAGGAACCAGAGTCCAGTCTTAACGCCGATAGGACCGTAATTATCTCTGATTGTTCATTAGGCTTTCGACTCGTTTATTCACGCTTATTCTAAGACAAATTCGTGACTACTGATTCAATTGCTGATTATATTCAGCAGTTGGATTGTCTAAAGAGTAATTACACAGGAGCCTATTAAAACTACAAAGGCTTATAAGTTCAGCACCTTACACATAGAACTAAGTCACGACAAACTTAGAGTTTACAAGCAATTCTAGGCTATTCACTTTGATTATAAAAAAAAACAGTCCCAGGCAGTCCGGATTATTACAACAGTGTTCATGTGAATACAACTTCAAAACAAATTTGATCAACATTAGCTAAATATACATCGCTAATATACTTCCAGTTGTAAATATACAAACAAAATCAGATGAACAAACGTGCCAAGGGGTAAACTCCATCTCATTTCACTTCCATTCCAAAGATTACATCAAGTAAGATTTAAAGCATGTACCTGGATTTGAATGAGCAAAGGAAGAGAGGTAAGTCACGAAGTATTAGGCAACAAGCAGCAGTAGAATTCAGCAGCTCGAAACAGATTCTCGATTCAAAAAACAACAGCTTATAGCCCAGTGTAGAATCAACAGAAAATTAACACCACAAATGACTCACGATTTAGCTTTGAAGGTGATTTCTAAACCTTATCGAATAGCAAACAGACCAGGACAACTTGTTCGACTCCTAAGCTTATCAGAAATAAACTAGAAATCAGAACTGTGTAATGCAAAACTCGGAAATGGATCTGGAAATTAACTGCTGGAAACTTTTATGAAAAAATTTAGAGATCTCTGAACTTTTCAAGGAATTTTTTCCCAGGATCTCCAACCTTGCTGCACAAGGCAATGTAGGTGCCTTTTATAGGCAAAACCTAAAGTTACCTTCAGATTTTAGTTTTCTTTTTAGTCCCTCCCTCATTTAGTTTTTTTAGTCCCTCATTTTTAAGACTTATTACCCAAGTAACAACACTTATTTTATTAAAACTACACTAAAGTCTATTCTAGAAGGTCCTACACCTATTGCAATTCCTACACTACCCTTCCCCTATTTTTACAATTACTATTCCTAATAAAACTACCCTTTTCTATGCCCAGATTACCCTTTAATTGTACCATAATTACTGAACCATACCAAACTAAAACTAAACCTCAGAACTTGGTTATCACTG